TCCCAATAATGCTCAGAGAATATGTTTATGGTTGAGGGATTCTGAGAGTTACGGTATTGGTGATCCCAATTAATGGAGACCCATTGAATGAATGGGATCTTCATATGCGTGGACTCAAATATTCAACATTGGAACTTTAGTTGAGACTAGCCATACAATTCAGTCGTTTTTTTAAAAAAAAATTGGTTCTACTGAGGGTTCAGGTTTGAATCAATCTGAGATCCATTGAGTTATCTTGTGATACGGTAATTTATTTGGCACTGGACCTCTCTGAGGGTGCATCTATACTGTAGAAGTAATGCAGTTTGACACTACTTGAACTGCTATGACTCAAGTAATGTCAATCTGCATTACTTCTATAGATGCACTCTATATGCCCAATGGTTGGAGAGGGGTTGGCAGGTCTCAGAACAATGGGTGTAAGAATGACTTGTGATGGAGTCAAATCTTTCCCAACTTGATTCTGAGAGGAGACATGATAGCCATGTTTAAATATGTGAGGAGAAGTCATAGGGAGGAGGAATAGGCTTGTTTTCTGCTGCCTTGGAGACTAGGACAAAGACCAATGGCTTCAAACTACAGGAAAGGAAATTCCACATGAACATTAGGAAGAACTTCCTCACTGTGAGAGCTGTTCAACAGTGGAACTCTCTGCTCCAGGATGTGGTGGAGACTCCTTTTTTGGAGGCTGGATGGTCATCTATCAGGGGTGCTTTGAATGCGATTTTCCTGCTTCTTGGCAGAATGGGGTTGGACTGGACTGGATAGTCCACGAGGTCTCTTCCAACTCTATAATTCTATGATTCTATGAAATAAGCTAGTCTAAAAATTCCATCCACTCCAATTAACAGGGGATGATGGGTGCAACAGTAAAACACATCTGGATGTCAGTTTGAGGAAGGTTGTTCTATCCACTACATTAGTTGGTTTCCTTTATGTCAGACATTTCTCTCTCTCTTTCCATAATAATTGTCTATCTAGTTACTATCATCCTAAAAAGTAAATAAAGTTCATTTTTCAAGGTTTTGGCATGTGGCTCCACTGCATGACACAAACCAAATGGTGTTGCAATATCTAAACAAAGTCAGCTTTTTATTGCTTTGGGGAAAATCCTTGCTCAATCCCCTAATTAAAGTTCTCAGCCCTACTATGCAAATGATCTGCCCTATGCGCAAGATCACGAAGAGGCTAAGTGAGTCATTGTTTCCTTTGTGATGTGTGCTCCTTTCTCCACGGGGGAGGCCTTGAAATGTAAAAGTGTTGATATCAAGAAAATAAAGGGTCACAGAACTTTAGAGATAACGCTCTTATCCACAATTGCAGGCACTTGTTCCCCGGCGAGACCAACAGAAACTCATGGCTGTAAAGGCAAATGTGTCTGCTGGGGTTGAAGGTTTAATTGTATAAGGATCATACCCTCCAACATTTCACTGGGGAAAGAGACAGTCAAAAAGATGTGGTAAGGCAAGGCGAGAGCAAAAGTGATGAATGAGGAAGAAAACAATATGTATGGATTGAATTTAGGGCAAGTCAAAGTCTCTCCCTTTCTCTGCTCTCCTTTCTGTTGAATTAATTGTGTTTTTTTTCCTCGTGTCAGGAGTGACTTGAGAAACTGCAAGTCACTTCTGGTGTGAGAGAATTGGCCGTCTGCAAGGACATTGCCCAGGGGATGCCCAGATATATTGATATTTTGCCATTTTTGTGGGAGGCTTCTCTCATGTCCCCGCATGGAGAGCTGGAACTGATAGAGGGAGCTCATCCGCCTCTCCCCGGATTCGAACCTGCAACCTGTCGGTCTTCAGTCCTGCCAGCACAGGGGTTTAACTCACTGTGCCACCGGGGGCTCCTAATTAATTGTGTAAGGTAAAGGTAAAGGTTTTCCCATGAAATTAAGTCCAGTCATGTCCGACTCTGGAGGTTGCTGCTCATCTCCATTTCTAAGCCAATGAGCCGGCATTGTCCGTAGACACTTCCAAGGTCATGTGACCAGTATGAGTGCATGGAGCGCTGTTACCTTCCCGCTGGAGTGGTACCCATTGATCTACTCACATTTGCATGTTTTCGAACTGCTAGGTTGGCAGAAGCTGGGGCTGATAGCAGGAGCTCACGTCACTCCCCAGATTAGAACCTACGACCTTTCAGTAAACAAGTTCAGCAGCTCAGTGGTTTAACCCACTGCTCCACCAGGGGCTCCTGTGTAAATTATTTTTTCAGTTTGTCCCCAGTGGCACCTATCAGCTCCAGCTCCTCATGTGGAGACATGAGAGAAGCCTCCCACAAGGATGGTAAAAACATCAAAACATTTGGGCACCCCCTGGGCAACGTCCTTGCAGACGGCCAATTCTCTCACACCAGAAGCGACTTGCAGTTTCTCAAATCGCTCCTGACACGACAAAAAAAGAAGTTCAAACTCAATTTGCAGTGTGCAGTAAGTTAAAGAGGATAAAGGGAGAAGCTGAGAAAATAGGACATTTTAAAAACACCTGAAAAAATTGAAATGATAGAGAATTAATCAGAATTCTCCCTGTCAAATTCGAAAGTTATTCTGTATTAATAGGAGATGTCACAAGAGTGGTCCATGCTCTTGTTACATCTCGAATAGACTAGTGCAGCACACTCTACATGGGGTTGTTTTTGAAGACTGTTTGAAAGCTTCAAATAGTCCAATGAGAGGCAGCCAGACTCCTCACCAGAGCAGCATAAAGGGAGCACACAACCCCCCTGTTAGGTCAGCTCCACTGGCTGCCTGTCTGCTACCAAAAACAATTCAAAAGGCTGGCTTTATCCTATAAAGCCCTAAATGGTTCCAGCCCTGCTTACCTGTCTGAACATAGTTCTCAACCTGATGGTCATGGCCCCTGGGGGGGGGGGGTTACAAAGGGGGTGTCAGAGGGGTCACCAAGACCATCAGAAAACACAATATTTTCTGTTGGTCATGGGGGTTCTCTGTGGGAAGTTTATCCCAATTCTGTCATTGGTGGGGTTCAGAATGCTCTTTGATTGTAGGTGAACTCTAAATCCCAGCAATTACAGCTCCCAAATATCAAGGTCTATTTTCCCAAAACTTTATCAGTGTTCACATTTATGCATATTGAGTATTTGTGTCAAGTTTGGTCTAGATCCATCATTGTTTGCATCCACAGTACTCTCCAGATGTAGGTGAACTACAACTCCAACATCTGGAGTGAATGCTTCTGGAACATGGCCATACAGCCCTAAAAACTCACAACAACCCAGTGATTCCAGCCATGAAAGCCTTCGACAATACAGAAATTAAATAGTTTGCTCTTCTTTCTATATGGCTTGTAAAGCTATAGTTTTTCTGCAGTGGGAATGAGAGCAAAAAATGTCAGTCAAAAATGTGTGGCTTTCAACTTACATTGAAGTCCAGCAGGAAATAAGTGGTTTGTTTCTCGAACAAGCCATGCTTGGGACCAGAAATCCTAGCATGTGAACGGGAAACCATTTCCCCAAAATTCACAAGCACAGACAAGCAGAATGTGGTTTCCTGTTGTCAGCTTTTGAATCAGCTGCTACCTTCTGAATCAACTGTTAACATTTCTCTTTAACTTTCTCTGAGCAGAAGTGATTCTCTCATGTTACAGCAGAGGGAGACAGGAGGCAGGCTTTTGCTAAACTACTTTTCTCCTGGCGCTCCTATAAAGAATTTGTATTCACTTTTTAAAATTGGTTATAAAATCATAGAATCACAGAGTTGGAAGAGACCTCATGGGCCATCCAGTCCAACCCCCTGCCAAGAAGCAGGAAAATTACATTCAACGCACTCCTGACAGATGGCCATCCAGCCTCTGTTTAAAAACTTCCAAAGAAGGAGCTTCTACCAAACTCTGGAGCAGAGAGTTCCACAGCTCAACAGCTCTCACAGTCAGGAAGTTCTTCCTCATGTTCAGATGGAATCTCCTTTCTTGTAGTTTGAAGCCACTGTAGTTTGAAGTCTAGTCTCCAGGGAAGCAGAAAACAAGTTCGCTCCTTCCTCCCTATGACTTCCTCTCATATATTTATGACTCATCTCAGCCTTCTCTTCTTTAGGCTAAATGTGCCCAGCTCTTTAAGCTGCTCCTCATAGGGTTTGTTCTCCAGACCCTTGATCATTTTAGTTGCCCTCCTCTGGACACATTCCAGCTTGTCAATATCTCTCTTGTCCATGGGAGTTCTGTGTACCAAGTTTGATTCAATTCCATCATTGGTGGAGTTCAGAATGCTCTTTGATTTTAGGTTAACTATAAATCCACCAGTATTCAGTTTTCAGCATATTGGGTATTTTTGCCAAATGAAAATATATCCTGCATATCAGATAGTTACATTATGATTCATAACATTAGCAGACGTTATGAAGTAGCAGAGAATATAATTTTATCGTTGGGGAGTCACCACAACATCAGGAACAGTATCAAAGGGTTGCGGAATTAGAAAGAATGAGAAACAGGGCCCTACATTAAGGCATTGAAGATTTATTTGTATTTATTATTTATTTCAAATATCTGTATCCCGCCCTTCTCTACCTCCGAAGAGGGACTCAGGGAGGCTTGGGCATCAGAAAGAAATATTATTTTACTTTCTCTTCAACATATCTGCTGCATCTAAGATATGGCAGTACAGTATTATTGGCTAAGCATGACAGCACTGATAGAGAGAAAACCAAATGAAATGAGACTTTCATATTAGCTACTGGTTTCTGAAAGCAGGGGAGCTGTTTGTGCTCAAAGCCATGGGAACAAAAGTTAGGGCTAAATGCCAATTTTTGGTAGCCACACTGATGTTTCTACAGGTTGTCAGGACTCAGAATAAAACTCAGGTGCCCCCTGCCTCCTTGCTGCCCTGTCCTAACGTCTAGATGCCATTCTGTCTTCCAGTACTGGTATTTGGAGACAACTTCCTTCCCTTTGTAGCGTCTACCTTATCTATCCCCAGTTGCTCACATCTAGCTCTTGTTCAAGAGTTCCCTTGTCTCCCTCAAAAAGAAAAGCTAAATAATTTACCTCATCTGGGACTCTGCTGTCTCTTTCCTCTGACTCCACCCATCCAAATGGTATCTGCCATCCACAAAGGTTTGAAGGGAGCTGGGGAAGTAGAACACAACTGAGTAGTAAATGAGCATGTTCCTGGAAATGCTATTTTTACTTGCAAGGCTGAATACAATGGAGAGAGCAGATGCTAGAAACAAGTGCCTCACAAACACAAATATTTAGAAAAGAAGAAGCCAGATAAAGAAGGGTCAAAGTGGTGATGATGTTGGAAATGCAGTAATGTTTAGCTTTAAAAAGTGAAGCAGTAAGCAGCAGTAATGCGGTAATTTGAATGACTTGAAGCATCCTCCATCTATGTCTGCCTATCCTGACCCCTCTGTTATGTCAGCTAATACTTAGAGAGATGCTTCTCCATGTCTTCTTCTTCCCATGAGTTTTGATGCTTCGGGTCCAATTTATCTTTGAGATCACATCTCCTTCTATGAACTGGCGTGGGCTTTGTTGTGGACTCCACTTGCGGCCCCATTACTTAAGATTGGCTCTGCATCTCATGGCGCCAGAACGCAACCTGATCAGTGCCTTCCAGGTCGCCCAGTCTTCTGTGTGCCCACGGGGCAGCAGATTATAGGAGCTAGAAGGCAGCAGATTACAAGAGACATGTCAGCAGTTTATGACACTGTAAACCATTGCAGAAAAACTTATAACAGCACAAAGGACTACCACTTCACCTGCTTCATAGGAAATCTGCTACAAAACAAGAGCTTTTTTGTTGAATTCCAGGGCCAGAGAAGCAGATAGTGAAAACAGAAGAATGGCCTGTTCTCAAGGGAGTGTGCTTGCTCCATCAGTGTTTAATATCTACACAAATGATCAGTCATTTCCAGAAGGGACAGAGAGTTTAATCTATGCTGATGATTACGCCATCACCGCTCAAGCCGGGAGCTTTGAAATGGTTGAACAGAAGCTATCTGAAACTCTAGGTGCTCTTACTGACTATTACAGGGCAAACCAGCTGATTCCTAATCCATCTAAAACACAGATGTGTGCTTTCCATTGTAAGAACAGACAAGCATCTTGAGCTCTGAGGATTACCTGGGAAGGAATCCCACTGGAGCATTGCAGCACACCCAAATACATAGAAGTTATTTATTTATTTTATTTCGGGCACTTCTACCCCACCCTTCTCAACCCCATGGGGGGGGGGGACTCAGGGCAGCTTACAACCTGATTCAGAAAGTTACCCTGGACCGTGCTCTGACCTACAAGAAGTACTGCTTGAATATCAAGCAAAAAGTGGGTGCTAGAAACAATATCATATGAAAGCTGACTGGCACAACCTGGGGATCACCACCAGGCACAGTGAAGATATCTGCCCTTGCACTTTGCTACTCTGCTGCTTAGTACACATGCCAGTGTGGAATACATTTCACTACGTTAAAACAGTGGATTAATGAAACTGTTAATAAAACATGCTGCATTATCACAGGATGTATATGCCCCACACCACTGGAGAAATTATACTGTTTCCCAACAGACGTACCATCTGGCATCTGTTGGGAAGTAGCAGCCAATAATGAAAGGATCAAGGCATCGACACCTTAATCAATAAAATGGCTGTTATGTTGGTTGAGTGGGTTTCCATGCTGTCATATTTGATTTACGTCAAGGGAAAGTGGGAACATGCCACCTTATCACAATTTCCCAGTCGTAGGACACTTCAGCCTCTTTTCAAGCATGGAGGGGCACTTGAGCTCATCAGATGAGTTACATTTCTTCCGGCTCTCATACATAGCCCTCTGTGACTTAAAAGAGGCAGAGGTGTCCTGAAAAGGGGGAACTCTGGCAATTGACTTCATCACATTTAGAAATTTCCCTCTTGTACGATACTTCAGCCTCTTTTTAAGCATGGAAAGGCATGAAACGCATCACATGTTCCTGGGCTGAAAAGAGGCAGAAATGTTTTGAACGGACGGAACTCTGAACATGGGCCAACAATTGTGTTCAGAACCGCTGTCTCTTATCACACTTTACTCCCATGTTTACAACTGAAAAACAGGTGTGATGGGAACTATCAAAAGTTTCCCATCCTGTTTCATTACCCAAACATCAGCAGTCTCTATTTCCAATGGGGTTTGATGCATAACCATAGGATCCCATAGAAAGAAATGGTTTTAACCTGGATCACTGTCTCTTGTATCATATGGGGTTTGATACAGAACCATAGGATACCATGAAAGGAGGGGTTTAAAACTGGTGTCAGTCTCCTGTAATGAAAGGGGCTTTCGGCAGGGCAAGGGATCTCTTGGTTTTTGGATATTGTTGGTTCTTTTGATTCAAAACAAAAAGGTAATACTGACCTTGTGATTAATGTAAGATGAATCCGTAGGAAGACCAAGGTGCTTGTTTATAAAGCTATTGTCCTCCCAACCCAAGAGATTTGCAGGATTTTTCAGAGACAACACTGATGGAATCATTCCAGGAGTTGAGTGTGACATTTGTATAGCAATATGCCTGTGAAACGCAGACTGTCTACAAACATCACATTCAACTCCGGGAATGATTCCATCAGCCTTGCCTCCAAAAAATCCTGAAAATCTCTTGGGAAGACAGGTGGACAAATGACAGTATGCGTGGAAGAAGCAAAGACCATCAGCATTGAAGTGATGCTCCTAAATGGTTCAGGACCTGCTTATCTTCGTGACCGCATCCTCCCCTACGAGCCCACACGGTCCTTAAGATCTTTCGGGGATGCTCTTCTCTCGCTCCCATCCCTGTCTCAGGCGTGGTTGGTGGGGATGTGAGAAAGGGCATTCTCAGTGGTGGCCCCTTATCTCTGGAACTCCCCCCCCCCCGGGAGATTAGGCTGGTACCCTCCCTATCCACATTCCGTAAGGAATTAAAGACATGGATGTTTTGTTGTACATTCGACTGACAGCTCCTTTAAGAGATGGTCTCTAACCATGACCTGAATTCAAATTCCTATGTTTGATTACTATACTTTTAAGTTAATCTGAAATGATCCTGTTTAATTGCACTATTCCTATGCTACTATATGTTCTATCCACCTTATTGACCAGCCTATCCTTTAATTCATTTTGTATACTGGCCTCCTACTCCCCAAAAAAATGAGTCTAAAGGTTATCCCTGTTGTCGAAGGCTTTTCATGGCCAGAATCACTGGGTTGTTGTAGGTTTTTTTGGCTATATGGCCATGTTCTAGAAGCATTCTCTCCTGACGTTTTGCCTGCATCTATGGCAAGCATCCTCAGAGGTAGTGAGGACCTCACTACCTCTGAGGATGCTTGCCATAGATGCAGGCGAAACGTCAGGAGAGAATGCCTCTAGACCATGGCCATATAGCCTGAAAAATCTACAACAACCCAGTTATCCCTGTTGTTGCTTATGATGTTTGTTTATTACTGCTTATGCTGTTTTTATTCTATTTTAATATGTTATTGTTATGTTTTTAATTGTATGTTGCCTTGGGCTTGGCCCCATGTAAGCCCCCCGAGTCCCCTCCAGGAGATGAAGGTGGGGTAGAAAAATAAACTTCTTCTTCTTCTTCTTCTTCCTCTCCTCCTCCTCCTCCTCCTCCTCCTCCTCCTCCTCCTCCTCCTCTTCCTATACCATCAACTCCACTGGACTAGCCATACTGTCCAAATGCCCAATCATCATCTCCCAAAGCAGTTAATATAATCCCAAACTCAAGAACGGGAAACGTAATGTTGGTGGACAGGAAAAGAGATTTATAGACAGTTTTAAAGCCCACCTTAAAAACTGTGGCATAGTCACTGCGAACTGGGAAACCCTCGCCCTTGAGCACTCTAGCTGGAGGTCAACTGTGACCAGCAGTGCTGTGGAATTCAAAGAGGCACAAATTGAGGGCAAAAGGGAGAAACATGCCAAGAGGAAGGCGCGTCAAGCCATCCCTGACCAGGACTGCCTTCCATCTGGAAACCAATTTCCTCACTGCAGAAGAACATGCAGATCAAAAATAGGGCTCCATAGCCACCTACGAACCCACTGCCAAGACACCAGACTTGGAGGACCATCATCCTCAGGCTACGAGGGATCATCTAAGTAATTAAGTAAGATGAATATATTGCCAGCTCTTAAATTTCCATGTGTGAGTGTGATGGGGAGGCAGAACTTGAAATGGGACTGCTGGTGATATAAGAGGGCCAATTCTCTACTCTTAAAGGGATGGCCACCTATGCTTTTCCCTTTCGATGTGATGAGGTGGGTGATCTCTACCACATCTTCTAGCCACTTCACTCTCCAATTAAGGCATTATTATGATGTGAGAAACAGTCAACTGTTGAGGAAATATGGAGTGGAGCGGGGAGCAGACTATGTAAGTGTCCTCTTTGCCCTAATGAACAAGACCCTACTATAGTTCAGTCAGCTTCTGTTCATCTCTATGGGTGGGGTGGCATCTTGTTCCTAGCCAGCAAAATGTTTGGGCATACTTCCAGTAGGGTTTCATGTCTCACAGGTCTGAGTGGAACATTTCCAAGGAAGAATGTGACCATTGCATTAGGCACGTCTTTGTGCCTAAGGGGGAGACAGGAGGGTCATGTCTCTTTGGGATGTGTGGAAACTATTTAAAACCACAATAACAGCAACAGATAAACTTTATGACCACAGATTGGGAAAGTACAAAGGGGAAAAAGGAAGTTAGTGTTGTTTATAAGCAGAGTGCAGGAAACTATAAGAGGCAAGGAGGTTTCCTTTAAAACAGATGGGTGGGGAACATGTTCAGCATGTTCCAAAGTAATTAGGCTAATTACTCCCCCCAAATTACGTAGGACAATTATAGTTACATCTTAAATCAACCTTTCCCCATTTGTCCATTTGTTAAACATAGCAAGGTAGAAAGTGGAAATAGAAAATAAAAGAAAAAAGTTTGCAAGACAAAGACTGTAAGAAAATGGAAGCAGAAGAATTAGAACAAAGATAGGTTAAATACCTAGAATATAATCACATAAAGAAGATGAAAATACCTACCTAGGAGTGGATGGAAGTGAAACCATTTCCCCCCATATTTTTATGTGGATTTTTCTTTTTCCAAATATTTTTTATTATTCTTTTCTCTTCTTTCTTCTTCTTTAATTTTCTTTCTCTTTTTCTATGCCCTTTAACCCTTTTATTTATCAAAAATGTAAAACTTTGCTATATGGCATTAATAAAAATATTTTTTTAAAACATAGCCATAAATGGCTACCATTATTTTCTTTTCCAAGGAGTGTTCTTTTCCAAAGAGTGGTAAAAAGTGCTTTCCATCTTCTTGCTGCATGGACAAAAGACCACAAGCCAACAATTCAAAGCAAAACATGAGCCAGCACTTGAATTATGAGGAATCCTTCATCTTCATTCTGCGACATTATACTTCTGAAACATTACAACTAAAAAGGTACAGTTACATCACAAAAATGGCGTAACACAATGTGTTAAACCCTTGTGCCAGCAGGACTGCTGAGCGAAAGGTCTGCAGTTCAAATCCAGGGAGCAGGGAGAGCTCCTGTTTGTCAGCTCCAGCTTCTCATGCGGGGACATGAGAGAAGCCTCCCAAAGGATGGTAAAACATCCAGGCGTCCCTTGGGCAACGTCCCTGCAGAAGGCCTATTCTCTCACACCAGAAGCGACTTGCATT